ATGAAGTTTCCTCTCCTCTCCTAACTCCGCCCAAAGAAATTCCTTTTGAATCCTCTCTAATCTGTTAGCCACTGCCGCAAGAATAGGAAACAGCGACATAAAATAAGCAGGGACATTTGATAGAGTAGATTTGACGAGAGTAAGATGGCCACCCTTCGAGAGATACATATGCTTCCTCCCCGCTAACCTCCTTTCCACCTTTTCTATAATAGCATTCCAAATATTAATACTTTTAAGCCGCGCCTCTAAAGGAAGTCCGAGATATGACATAGGTAATTGCGCAACCCTACAACCTAATATAATAGCTAGTTCCTCCACATTAGTGACCTCCCCTACTGGAATAACCTCAGATTTTCTCAGATTAACCTTCAATCCTGACACCGCTTCAAAGCATAAGAGCAACCCGCGTAAATTCCTGATTTGCTCCTCAACTGCGTTACAAAAAATCAGTGTGTCATCTGCAAATAACAAGTGGGACACCTGCAGTTGACTAACCGTAAATCCCGTAAGCAGATTCTTCCTCCTCGCTTTCTCAAGCATCTTACTGAGAGCCTTCATTGAAATAACAAACAGTAATGGAGACTATGAATCCCCTTACCTCAACCCTCTGCTACTCCGAAAGTAACCCTCGGGAGTACCGTTGACCAAAATTGAAAATGAAACAGTAGAGGTATAGAACTGAATCCACTTACACCACTTATCCCCAAATCCACATGTCCTAAGCATATACAGAAGGAACCCCCAGTTCACGTGATCATAAGCCTTCTGAATATCGAGCTTGCATANGGATCCCCTTACCTTAGCCCTCTGCTACTCCGAAAGTAACCCTCGGGGGTACCATTGACTAAAACTGAAAATGATACAGTAGAGATACAGAACTGAATCCATTTATACCACTTATCCCCAAATCCACATCTCCTAAACATATACAGAAGGAACCTCCAGTTCACGTGATCATAAGCCTTCTGTATCGAGCTTGCATAGCATCCCTGGGATCCATAGGCACAGTCTTGAGTCAATGCATTCATTCGCTATTAGTACATAATCCAAAAGAGGTGAATATATAAAGGAAAAGAAGCTACACTAAATTAATGTGTGGAAACTAAAGAAATGAATTTGAGCACTTGAGGTTTAAAGTTTTAGTATGTTATTTTTTATATTTTTCTGTCGAGGATTAGATGTGATTCTCCGAATATCGTTTTTTTTTTTTTTAAGTTCTTGTTTG